TTTTCTTTCTTACGTTTGTAGGCAAAACCTTGTCTTCGAAAAACATTAGTGGAGTACCTTTATAAGGCTGCATCATGGCGTTTTAAACAAGCATTGGCTAAGTATGGAATTGTGCGTTCCAAACAAAGCAGTTTGTAGACAACAAGGCTTTCACCACGCGTACTTCACTGTTTCCTTTATATAATTAAATTTTAAGTCCTTACTCTTTCAAACGTTGACTATGTTATCTGTAAATGGTGCTTGATACTTGTATGGTCCATTGCAGATTCATTATTGGCCTGAGGCACTGCACGAATTCTCCAATATATACCTCAAAATAAGTTTTGAATATAAAGAATTAGGAAAAAATATTGCGTTTTACTTACTAGGGTCATCAAAAACTATTTTCAACTTTACTTATAGGTTGTGAGGCTAAAAACTAAATGGTTGTTAGTATAAGACCCTATATTAGTTGTTTTGCTTTTAAGCAAAAAAGATCAACTAATGCAAAACCTTACACATTTTACATGAAAATCTTTTTTTCAGTTTGGTGATTTTTTGTTTGAATTTGTCAGGAATTGCACGTTTTGTCTGGGGGCGGCTCACGTGGGTTTGCATGTGCGCACCTGATTTGTTCGCGGCGGCTCTTAATTGCTTTGCACGTATTCGCTGCTAGTGTTTATGGTACGTGGAATCCCCCCTTTTTTTCCAGACTTTTGATTTATTGGAAGTCGAATTGGAGTTCGTTTTACTTCTCTTAAATCGGGTTCTGACCTGTGAATAGCACGTCGTTATTTTTGAATCAACATGTATATACGGTGTCATTGTTATATTTATCTATTTATAGCTTGTACATGGCTAACCGTTTTAACTTGTGAGCAATGGTTAGATGCCTTTGTCCACTTTTTAGCCCTTTTCAGACATACGTGCGTTTGATCTTTCCTTTAGTTTCCTTAGCTATGGTGGCATTGCTGTTATTCATGTGGGCTTCAAACTGGCTTCAGATCTTCATATTTGTAAGCTCGCTTTGACGCTTAAAGAGAAGTGGAAATGGACAATTAAGTCTGAAGGTGCTAGCCTCAGTTGGCCCAAGCCTACCTATGCAGGTTGTGCTCTTCACCTTTGTGCTTTTATCTCATCCTTGTTATATCATTGGGTGCTTTACTTTTTGCATTGTGCATTTGCATTAAGTTACACAAAATTATTCTTGACGTTCACATACAGTATAAATGGGATATTAGGGTAGTGGACGCACATATCTTAAGTGATATTTGGGGGGGAAGTTTGTTTTCCATTCCTAAATATTAACTACTAAACCTTACAGCATTGCAGGAATGCTAGTATTTGAATGTGGTTTCAGTGAACGTTTCACACACCCTATTGGCATCATTAAAAAGTCATTTTTCTACCCTTTAAGCTTGATACGCGAAGTACGAAGGGAGATGTGTGAATGTCGATCCACTTAGAGTCCCAGCCACAATTGCTACTGCTGTTGTAGCAGACTTTGCAGTGGCGAAGGATGTTGTTGCGGACCCTCTTAGTGAGTTTTCCTGACTTTGCAGTGATCCCCGTCATCACATTGCTTCCTTTTCTATCAGAGTACGTTGTCCTGTCATTTAAACATTTATACCGCAGTGGTATTTTTTTGCGCTAAATTTTCATGCTCTCAAAT